GCTTGCTCTGAATGCCTCAAACCGTGGTATACTGTTTTAAAACAAGGTTGGATTATCTCCACTATTGAGAGCAAAAAAATGTTGGTAATGCCCAGCAGCTCAATCTTTTGTGCTGAGCACGGTCTTTTGTTATAAGGCCCAACTCTTTTGTCCCAGTTCCGGGCTCCCCAGCTCTGCATATAAAGCCTATGTACTCAAAAACGGGTCGCCCAGCAGGAAGTGGTTAAAAGAATCAATCATGGCTCACCTATGCTCCTTCAGCCAGGTAACTGCATCTCCATGAAAAGCCACGACAACCACAACACTGAAAGGAATTCAAGAAAAATCCAATTTGCTAAATCCTTGGCAATTTCAAGCCATCATGTTCATGATGTTTGCAAATAACTGAAGACACACAAAACATTTTAGCTCAAAGTTCCAAATTAATTGCAAGTGTTTTTCAAGTTAAACTCTGAAAGAACAACTCTGATCTCTTGATCTCTCCATGAAAGTGCTTAGAGCTAGCATTGGTTACTCAGGCCTGGATGGTTAGAGGCTCAAGTCCACCTGCTAGTTCATGTTACTGGGACTAGAGCTAGGATTGGTCACTCAAGTCTGGATGGATAGGGGCTCAATTCCACCTGCGGATGGATGTTGCTGAGACTAGAGCTAGGATTGGTCACTCGAGCCTGGATTGGTTACTCAAGCCTGGATGGTTACATCGGAGAGACAGGCAGGGATCTAACCACTAGACTCAACGAACAACGAGCCCATGGGCGACGAGGAAACTACGAGAAGTCATCCATTGTTAAACATTCACATGAAACAGACCATTCTATCAAGTGGCATGAACTCATCGCCAGCATCGAGCAATGTAACCCCCGACAAATCCGCAAGGCCATTGAAATCTTCAAGAACAAGACGGTCCTCCAAGACATCGGCTACATTAGTGATATTTGGCACCCCCTCCTGTCCAAAGGGTCCCCTACACCCACAGACTCCCAGCCTTCAGTGCCACATGGGTCCCCTATACCTGGCACTCTCTCCAGCACTCCAACACCAACTGACACGCACCAGTGAGCAGCCACAGCAGCCCTCAACACAGTTCAGGCCTTCATGCCCCAGTACCCAGATAGCTTGGATCCCAATTCCCATGCCTCAGTGATCACCCACAGCATATAAGCAGCAGCACAGTTGGATCGCATCAGTCCTGAAGACGGACAGAGCACTCACTGTCCGAAATGTCAAGTAACTAGTTCTTTTCAGAACCACACATACTCAAAAGAGATATTTTCCACATGGTGTATCCGCAAAACCCTCTACCTTATCGTATTCCACCATGCAAACCTTCGAGAGCTACTAGGATTGGTCACTCAAGACTGGAAGGTTAGAGGTTCAAGTCCACCTGCTGGTTCATGTTGCCGAGACTAGAACTAGGATTGGTCATTCAAGCCTGGATGGTTAGAGGCTTTGGATAGGAATAGACTTCCACAAATACATTGTACAAGTATATTGCTGCAAGAATGCAATTCTTTCCCCACGTGGAGTCGGTCGGGTCTCCTAGAGGATACTTACGCTGCCCAGCCTACATATGCAATTTTCCATGGGCCTATTACAATTCGCTGAAAAGACTTGACTATGTATTCTGCCCCTTGACCCTCCACAATGCACTACGGTCCCGCCCCCATGTTCGTCCCTCTTTTGGAAGTGGTAAGGTCACAAGAGCCAAAGTTGGGAAGGACGGGCAGGAGCGGCTGGGCAGGGGCAAGTATCACTAGGAGACCCGACCCACTCCACGTGGGGAAGGAGTCTCCTGCGTTCACATAACCCTGCCCAGCCTACATATGCAAAGTGGCACCGTACCCTGGAGGTGGGTCGGCCATGGGAGTATAATAACTAGGAGAACATAAGGCGGGCATTGTGAAAGTGGACACTCACCCGGCGAACCTACTAAGGCTAACTATCAGTCCCCTGGCCCGGAGCAGTGCTGGATGTTGCCTGGACTGCCGAGTGCAGGGTCGCTCTGCCATGGGCTGTTTCACTCTGCAGGACATCCTTCAGGTAGCATTCAGTGAAGGTGGAAGGATACTTCCAACAAGCCGCCTGGCAGATTTCAGCTAGAGGAACCCCTCTGAAGTATGACCAGGATGTAGAAGCGGCCCGAATATTATGGGCCCTGACATAAGCGTGAGTCATCCCATCATGTTGAGCCGGCCAGTCTTGATTAGTGAAGATAATAGCCGAGACCGTTCCATGGGCGATAGTGTCTTTAGATTGACAAAAAGTTGAGAATCAGATTCCCGACGACGTTTCGTTCTGGCAAGATACCACTTGAGAGTCCAAACAAGGCACCATTTCTTGTCAGTGTCGTCTCCCACAAGTGAGGTTATATTGGGAACAAATATGTCGGGAGGTCAGAAGGTAGGCGTCTGGTTTTTAGTCAGAAACCTGATGGATGGGATGAAACGAACCCTGCGAGACTCCCAGTGGATGTGGCCATTGGCAATTGATATGGCATGTAGCTCGCAACCCCGTCTCGATGCAACGACCGCTTGGAGGAACGCCAGCTTGATGCTGAGATGGACGTCAGACGCGTCAGCTAACGGTTCGAAGGGGGGCCCAGCAAGAACGCTCTACATGTTCTTGTTGGGCTTCTACACATTTCCGAGATCCCAGGATGAGACGAGGCCTTTGACATGGGGGCACTCAACAAACATTCCTCGAAGAAGATGGTGGATCACAGCATTGTCAGAGACAGTCGATCTATCGCTGAAACCCGAGTGTACAGCCGCCAAGGCCGACCTGATAGTTGCAGATAGTGGAAAACTGGAGGCCCCAGTGGAACAGGTACATGAGGAAGTCTGCGATAGATCTCACAGGAGCTTCAGTTGGAGAAACATTGTGGTTGTCGCACCATCTAGTAAAATGATGTAGTCGATTGTTGTAAATCTTGCGAGTGGACAGTCGTCGACCCCGGGCCGCCATGGACGCAGCATCTGCAGAAGGGCCCAACGCTATGAAGGATCGTTGGACAACATCCAGCACGTCAAGTGAAGATCCTCCAATGCTGGGTGGAAGATCCCCGACTTGGGCTGGGTGGAGGATCCCCGACTTGGGCTGATGGAGGATGTAACCAGAAGGATTAACGGCGTACCAGGAGTTTTGTCAGTCTTGGGAACCATGGTTGGAGAGGCCAGAACAGGGATGATGAGGATTCGACATGGCTCCCATTCTATCGTGGACAGGACCCGTGTGATGAGGGCAATTGGAGAAAAGGTGTACACCAAAGGGCCCGACCAGTCAATCTGTAGGGCGTCGGTCACCCATGCCTGCGGGTGAGGAAACATGGAACAGAATGTCAGGAAATGGGCATTGTCGGCAGATGCGAAGAGATTGATGTGAGGACGCTCGATCTCCGCGAAGATCTGGCTGACCACATTTGGATAAAGAGTCCACTCTGTCGGTCTGATGGCACCCCAACAGTGTGTCAGCCATGTTTTGTTGCTGGGTCCCACAATGTGGACGGCTTGGAGGGTGATGCCTTGGTTGATAGTCCACATGAAGAGCTGTCACGCAAGGGTGCAGAGTTGGGGAGAGCGAGTGCAGCCCCGCTGATTGATGTACGCCACCACTGAGGAGTTGTCACTCTGGATTTAAACGGAACGACCTACTAAGTGTTGATGAAAGTGGCAAAGAGCGTTGAACACCGCTTGAAGTTCCAACATGCTGAAGTGCTTGTCCCGACAGGCGGAGTCCCTGACCCCGGAGGCATGGAGTGGAGGCAGAGAGGCTCCCCATCTGAACAGCGACACATCTGTCATCACAGTCACGTCCAGGCCTGGAGGGATGAAAGGCAGGCCGGCTGACAAGACACTCGGTGACGGTCCACCAACGAAGGTGATTGCATATATTGGGTGGAAGAGGTACCGGGGTAGTAATTCTGTTGCTCTTGGGATGGTACTGAGAAAGGAGATGTAGTTGAAGCGGCCGCATCCGTAGTCGACACCATGGGACAAGGTCGATCAGGCTGGCCATTAATCCAAGCAGACAGAGCCGGGCTAACGCCCAAGGAGCCTCAGCCGTTAGAAACTGGAAGACACACCGACACAGGTTGAGGATGCGCTCTGGTGTCGGAGTCACAATACCTTTGCGGAGGTTGCGCACCACACCAATGTAGACTGGCCTCTGTGATGGGTTGAGATTGGCCTTGATGTAGTTGGTGAGAAACCCTAGACGTACCGTTGTTACAGTGCAACCAGTGCATGAATTGAATGTTGTGTTTTTCTGATTATGTTTTTACTGTGTTACATTGATTGTTTTTATTCCGAGTATATATCAATCTACCCCGAAGGTAATGGAATCGTCCAAAAGTTGTAGCCAATCAATTGCTTGTCATTCCCCGTAGATGTAACTCTGGCATTCAGAGAAGGCGTTCGCGAAGTGGGAAAACGCCTTCCCGTCTTACGCAACGGTATTTTGTTCAGGCTGTGGTAATTGTCAGAATACCCATCGGATTATTGTGAATCAAATCACGGCAGTCGATATAGAATAGGTCACATTGTACAATCGGACACAATTAAAATCTTTGGGTGCATGTTGGAGTTTTCTTATGTGAGAGATGTCGAGAGTGAGGGAGGTGGAAGCCCTGGTCTCGTTGGGGAATGGCTGATGATCAGCCAGTCGTCTAGATATGGAAAGATGAGCGAGTCACGCTGTCGCAGTTGAGCGGTGAGTGTCTTGGCAACCCGGGTGAAAACCCTGGAGAAGTGGACAGGCCGAAAGGAAGAGCCTGAAACTCGTAGATCTGGCCTCAATATTCAAAACGAAGGAATTTGCGGTCCCGGTCATGCATTGGGATATGAAGATATGCATTCCGCAGGTGTATGGAGGCGACCCAACACAAAACTGGCCGGTAGAGAGCACAAGACCATGTTAAGGGTCTCCATTCGAGACCACTTCAGCCTGATAAACTTGTTGGGCAGCTTCAGGTTGATTATTGGTCACCATTTCCCCGGCTCTCTCTTGGGTGTCAGGAAGAATGACGGAAATCGGTGGATGACTGGTGTACTGGTATAATGGCTCGTTTGCGTAGTAATGCTGAAATCCCTCCTCCAGAGCCAGATGCCTGGAATTGTCGTGGGGAGGGGGAGTAGAGCGGTACAGACCATCTCGGACGGTGGGGAGCTCATGAAAGAGGGTGTAGCGCCGTGGGTGATGGTGATGAGGACCCAGCTGTCTGTGGTGATTTCCCGCCAGAACCCGATGAAATTGCCCAGACGGCCGCCGACAGGTTCGGGATCGGTGGCCATTGAAGGTGAAGGAGAATATAGTCACTGGCGCCGCCCCCCAAAGGGACCGGGGGCGCAGGGCGTGAACCTACGGCTGGCGGGTCGTGGCTGGAACCTCCTGGAAGCAGTCGAGGGTGGAGCTGGACGGGGGTTCGATGAGTGAGCTGCTGGCTGAAACAGACGGCTAAAGGGACAGTCTGAAGGAGGAGACAGGCCCCGCTGCCGTCTTGGTGGCGGTGGTGGCTGCCATAGCGGAGGAGCCGCGGGTTCCGCAGAGTGAAATTTTCTTGGCGGTCTCCATGCGCTTCACTTCCGACTCGAGAACATAAGTAACATCTTCCGGCGAACAAGTCGTCCCCAAGAAGCAGCAGATCGAGAAGTTTGTTCTTGACCGACTCGTAGGGAATGTTCATAGCATCTACCGCACTAGCCCTGCGGCTGGAAGTAGCTAAAAGGGAGATGTGGGTGAACTGCTCAAAGACGGAGTTAAGACCCTTGTCGAGCCCACGCAGGGCAAGGGCCACAAAGTCAGGTGAGACGGGAGAGCCCTCCTTGCAGGCCTGAGCAATATACTCCGGAAGGAAGAAGGCTGAACATCGGGGCTGAAGCAAGAAGATGTCTCCAGGCAACAAAGAACCGACTTGAAGTTGGCCTTGTCCTTATCGGAAAGTGAAGCGCTTACCGGCATCTGAAGAAATCTTGTCTCTAAGCAGCATCAGGGATGTCCAGAGCTGACAATAAGCGAGAGACATCTTTCTGGGGGAAGCGGTAGTAGCACAGAGCCCTGGACGGCATTGCATGCCAGCACTTGGCCTTTGTGAGGATATTCATCATTTCAATGCAGGAGCGATCCAGTGGGATCTCCGGAAGATGGGCTCAGTTGACTCAAGATGTGAAGGGTGACGTTTAAATGCTCTGCAGGCGTAGGATCCGAAGATGGAAGACCGAGAACATGTATATGTACCAAGTCGCGCTAAAGAAGGCGAAGGCAGCCCTTGGGTTGGGTCAGGCCAGCGATAGGCAGGCTTTGATCTTTACAGCAGCCACTGCCACAATGCACCAGTGAACTGCCGTGATGCCCTTTAAAAAAAGCACATACCTTTCGGCCTCCTGGCTGACGTGCCCCTCTTCAATGATCAGTAGGCTTAGATGTATTTGAAACCTTCAAGTTACCGTTTCTTATATCAGCTGTATCTTTTGGGTCAACGGCCTGCCGCATGGCCGCACAAGCACTGTTTTCTTTTTCACCGACTGTATTCGTCGCCCGTAGCTGTGGTATTGCAACCATGTCAACGTTGTTGTGTGATGCTAAAAACGTAGCACCAGACTACTTTAATACAGACTGGTTGTAGATCACAGCACAGAATTACACGCAGTGCACTGATTGGATTCTGTACATTGCACATATTGAGACTGCATCAATAATATTTGTGGGATTGCGGACGGGAATACGACCCATGCAGTCTATTTTTCCCTCCCCATTTCACTGACAATCACGTGCGTGATGCAACGGCGGGCTATTAAATAAATGTTTCTGACCAGTGACCAACTCGACTGAATAACACTGTTGTAACTTTGTTGGTCGTTTTGTATTTGGTGTGAATTTCATCAATTTTTTCATCCTACCAACCCATCATGCCTTCCCACAAAAGACTGAAACAAAATCATGCAAGCAAAATGGCCGGTGTAGCAGCCAAGTGCCAACGTTTGGATACATTGCATTGTTTAGGCGAGATTGGTATTTTAACAAGGCCTGACGTTACACTGGTCACATGCATCTTCTGAAGTTCGAGCATGGAATGCAAGCCAAATTATTTGGCATGCTGCGTACACATGGTAAATGGGGCCTTACCCTTGGGTGGGAATTTGTATTTCATATCCGGTATTTAATAAAACGACTGTTTTCAAAACCACATTTAACTTGAAGGGTAGAATTTCAGTTGGGCATATGATGTTGGACTTGAGGGCCAGGAATTTTTTTTATAGGTTAGGCTAATAATACTAGGTAGGGGTAGGCCTAGATATCGTTTTTGAATAAGCACGTGGGGAAATCAATATCTTTATGAATGACTTTCGTTCAAGAATCTTGTTTTCTTAGGACTTTTTTTCGAAATGAGCAAGTGGGAGTCATCGAAATTACGATAAATGCATGCAATAAAAGGGGTGGGGTGAAAATAGATGAAAGGTTCAATAACTAGCAATGCATGTGGCAGAAAAAAAATTCAGCAAGATATTTGAAAACTTAAATGATTCAAGTGAATGCTGCTTTTAGTTGGCTGACACTTATATTTTATTTGATTTCAGGCCATAATCACTCCCAACTGATAACCAAACTACAACATGTTTAGCTGTAATACTGGTAGATGCTTCGTCCAATGCCTCTTCCATTGCTTCGTCCAGTGCAAAGACCAGGAAGACAAGGTCTGACACAGTCAAGTCCAGGAACTTTGGCAGCTGGTTAGACTTCAAAGAAGGCGGCAGCTGTGTTTGCAATGTTTGATGTCGTATTTGCAAAGACTACTACTCTGCTTCAAATGAACATAACACCAGGAAACAGAGGTTGAACTTGAAGTGTGACATGGATGCATATGGCACAACAAATGTGAAAACAAGACACAGCCGTTTCACACCGCAAGTTCCAGTTCCACTTGAAAGCAGTCGAGAAACTTCAGGGTCAATCTGAAACAGCCAAAACAAAGATGAACGTCAAAAACACAGTTACAACACTGAGTGCAAACAATGAGAAGATGTGCAAACTGTTTGACCTGGCCTATGTTGTTGCAAAACGTGAACTGCCATTCACTGTGTACAGTGCACTTGTGGGAATTGAAAAGAAACATGGTGTTGCCCTTTGGGATACATATGCAAATGAAAAAGCATTTAAGATGTTTATTGATGAGACAGGACGTACCATGGTTGATGAAATGAACAGTAATTGGCAGTGCAGTGGAGAAAACCAGACACCATTCTATTTTTCACTCATCTTCGATGGAAGTGCCGATAACTCATTCTCTGAAAAAGAAGTGATCTCGGTCAAGATCATCAAAGATGGAAGGCCAGAGATCAAACTGCTTGGGTGAGTATTGTGGGAGATGGAGATTTAAAATCTCACTGTAAACTATTCATTGTCATATCAATGATTGATTCTTTTGTACACATCTTGCAAAGACATTCACTGACAAATGCATATTTGTGTGCTATATCACTGAGTGCATAAGTGACCTTCAACAATTACTATTTCACCTTTTAGGATTGTAGAGTCAAAAGGAAGCACTGCAGAAGCCATTTACAGTTCAATAGTCGATAAGTGTGATGAACACCGGTTGGAACTTACCCAGTCTTTGGCAGCATCAGCAGCAGATGGGGCATCTGTGAATACAGGTGAATACAATGGAGATTTGGCCACACTGACTCAAGCTGCATGCTCTTGGATGGTGAGAATCCACTGTGTACCTCATCACATGGAGCTTGCTCTTAAGGATGCATTTTCCAACACATACTTCACCCAGGTATCACAAATAATAGTGCCCACTTTGCCTCTGTTTGACAACTTAAGACTTTACAAAATCTGCGATAACCTACACGTAAATGTAATATGATTAGAATTTGTAACTGTATTACATTTCCATTGTTTTTACTTCTTCACAGACAGACAAGCTGATGATGGACATGCACTATATCTTCAAGAGATCACCCAAGAATTGGACAGAATTTCAAAAGCTCTCAGACACTTCAGACTCATGTCATCAAACCTGTTAGGGCGTCTGGAACACGTTGGATTACCCACAGAAAGAATGCAGTTGAATCTCTTGACAAAGATTACACAGTCCTGGCTCAGCTTTTCGAGGACATGGCGTCAGATCAGAGAAAGGACACAACAGCAGAAGATATGGCTAAATTGAAGGGGTACCTCAAGACACTGAAGTCCGCCAAATTCGTGTTGAATCTTGCCTTCTATGCCGACATCCTGCATGACCTGGCTCAGCTTTCCCTTGGCTTTTAGTCAAATGAAAAGTTTGTCTATCAAGTGAGAACTAACACTGACGCAGCATTGGATGCACTTCAGATGAAAAAGACAAAGCCTGGGAGACTGACAAGCGCAGCACTAGAAGAGGTTAAACGGGATGACAAATGGACATTCAGAGGACTTGAACTCACTGTGGGTACATTCACAGTGGAAGCATTCAACAAGATGTCCAGAGCTACCATCAGTGATATCATCAGCAATATTGACTCTCGACTGCGATCTTTTACTGAGGATGAAGTTTTGGTGGCCGCCGATATCCTGGATCCTACTAACTTACCAACCAAGCTCTGACAAGAATGCGCTCCATGAATATGGAAATGAACATGTCAAAAATCTGACCCACCATTTCAAAGAAGTCATGATTAAGCAGGGATGCCCGCTTCAAGATATCAATGCAGAATGGATGAAAATCAAGCTTAACATTGCACGAAACCACACTCACCTCAGATCAGTTGATCTGTGGCACAAAATGCTAACTCAGAAGCATGAGGAATTCCCCAACTTTCTGCATGTGGTCAGGGTTCTTTGGGTGTTCCCAATTGCATCTCCACGAGGGGAAAGGCAGTTCTCTGCTATCAAGCGAATTCTGGGTGATTGGAGATCACGTCTTGGACTAAGCATCACAGAAACCCTCTAACGTATTTCACCAGAGGGTTCAGAGCCTGTACAGTTTGATCCACAGCCAGCAGTTTCCAGACGGTGGAGTAGCTGTATCAGGTCCAGTCGACCCAACACAAAGGTACTGGGTCAACGGACCTCTATGCGGCAAGCTGAAAATGCTGAGCGAATCTGATGAGTCCAAGTCACCAGGTGCAGGATCACTCAACCAGTCAGATGAAGAGAGTGGCACAGAACATGAGAAGCAACAGGAAAATGACGAGGATGAATCTGAAACTGACTCAGATATTCAAGGGGATGTATTTTGAGTTTGTGAGTAATTCTGTGTAGGCGTGTACAATGACTTTCAAAATATGGCATCATGAAAAGTAATGACAACATCGAATGGCACCAGCACAGTATTATTTGTTTTTACTTTTTACAATTCAGGCAGTGTCACTGCTCAGCATGTGAACAGAAACAATGGAAATTTCAGGTTGAAAGTTAAACACCATGTTGAAATTGAAGGAAAGTCTCTTAAAGTCAACAACATTCAAAATGGCCTTGGTGCCCTTTCAGTTGGCCTGGGTGCCGTTTGGTTTTTGGGAGCATTCAATGCCACATGGCTTTGACCCTCTGAAGCTTGACGTTGAAGCCTGGACAGAGTCAATGTGTTCATCCTCAGAAGAGAGCGGATGAAGGCCCGCAGGAGGAGGGGGAGGAGCCGAACTGTGGTCAGAGCGAGTCGAGTCGCCACGATCCAGGACCGTATCCCGCTGGAAAAACTGGTCTGGCTGGAGAACAGAGGCAACTTCAACCTCCGAAGGGCACCCCTTGCGAGGGAGGAGGAATGGCCAGAAGGGAATCCCGGTCAGGCTCTGTTGCTGCTGGCTGAAGCTTGGAGTCTATGTTGCGGGCGAGAGAAGGCCTCCAAGAGGGACTGAAGGGTTGCTATCCATGGGGGCGGATCCGGATCGGAGCGGCGTTTCTTCTCAGCCTTGGATGAGAAAGAAGAAGCCGAAGAAGACATTATGGCCTTATGCTTATTAGTCTTTGCCGGTGCAGGGGAGCCGGAAGCCGGGACAGATGGAGATGCAACTGGGCGAGGATCCCCGAGTGGTCGGTTGTATCCTAGGAGGAGTGCCCCATCGGCAGGGCAGAGGTCATAATAGAGCTGCAGACGGAGTGTGGAGGACAAAAGCCCCAGCGGCGTAGCAGTCCAAAGGGCTAGCATCATCCAATGTAGCTTGAGGCTGGGTGCCGTGTTGTAGCGCAGGTTCGCCCGCAGTTGAGGAGGTGGAGCGTGGTGAGCCAGCCATGGAACCTGTTGCCCGCTAGGAGGGGGTTGACTGGCCCAGTTTCCAAGAGGACGTCACCCGGTGAGCAGAAGCTGGTGAGGGACCTGGGGCAGACGTCGCCCCGCAAGCCCCACAGGGCCATCAGTTGGTAGGGTCGCTCAGGGATGTGGCCGGTAGCAACACTCAGTACCTGTAGCATAGAGAAGAAACAACTTGTTAGGCTTTGGTCAATGATAATCGAGGGTAACGTCAGCTCAGCCCAACCAGTAGGTGCCGGGAGTAGTCTTCAGTGATCAAGGGTAATGTTGCGGCAGTTGCTCGCTCAACCCTAGCCCATTTATTCCACTGGGTCTCTCCCCGTCACGGCCGTTAATTTCGGATAACGCAAACCGCACCACTAAGGAGCGAGGCAGCCCTCCAGCCCCACTCCACTGCAAGACCCATACAGCATTGGGCCGTTATTTTTCGAACGCACGCACCACATTGAGAACAAAGGGCTGCCCGCTAGCCCCGTTCAACGGCCATACACAGCACACTACAACAGTAGGTCACACCCAAACCTGTTGATAACGCACAGAAAAAGGGGCAGAAAAGAACAACAAAAGTACGAAATAAAAAGAAAAGCACTCTTACCAACTGATCAGAAAACACTCTTTATTCCTACACAGGAATCAAGTCAATTCACAAACGCCAAAGGTTACGGAACTCAAAACTCCGAAAATGCCATGAAGACAGGTCTTTAAATTAAAGGCACTGAGAAAAGGACGAACATGGCGGTGGGACCGCAGTGCATTGTGGAGGGTCAAGGGGCAGAAGTCTTTTCAGCAAATTGTAATTTGCATATGTAGGCTGGGCAGGGGTATGTGAACGCAGGAGACCACGTTACATGTTCCCACAAGTTTTTTTAAAAATTAGCACAGCACTTGCATGTACCACTTGCACAAAAATATGCTTCACTTCCACGGCAAATGTGATCCCCACCACACCGATACACTGTACTTTGTGAGACATTCTCTGGAAGAGTTTGTGCTGTGGTGCTAAACTCATTCTTAACTCACATAATTTCAGCAAATGTTGTTAAAGCCTTTTTTCTTTTCACCAAAGTACAAAGCAGTGGATTTTAAAAATTTGTATGTGCAAAAGTATCTGAAAAGTTGTTTGTGGTTTACATTTTGGCCCAACTCCTTGGGATTTATTTTCATAAATCCTTCAGTGTCTACCACTGTTGATGATGAAGTCTTTGTACTTGCACATTAGGGCCTGTTCTGGAAAGTCTTTAATAAATCAAACTACACATACAAAACAACTTTAAATGTTAGGAATACTGGGTACTTGGGGAAAAATCCCCCCCCCCATTATTGGGAGTTCATCTCAACCCCGTAATCTCCATCAAATCCTCAAATTATTTCATGAAAAAGAATTTCTGTCCAGTGGTTGAAAAGGACGTAAGAAGTACTGAATGTGCTCGGTGTAGCTTCTATATAGAAATCCTTTGGGTTTTTGACTGCCATTGGAAAAGTGTTGCAACCAAAACTGTTTTTCTCTTTCTAGAAAAACGGAAAGACTTCTGTTTGTTTAAAGAGCATTTCCAAGGAAAGCATGTTTTCACCGATTTCATCTGTTCAAATAAATATGGAAGCATCCAAATTGGATGCAGTGTCATTCGTCTTCAGAGCTCAACTATAGCAAGCTTAAAAGGGTTTTTTTTTTCTGTTCATGCCAAGACGCGAATTCTGAATGTAGATTGTGTCATTCGGAGAAAACAGAGGAAATGAGGGGAACCCTCGCCCTGTGTTTGTAGTGGATAAACCCTTGTGCATGCCAAACAGTGCATGTAGCCATTGTTTGTAGCAATTGTTAGATTTTGTTAGAAAAATACTATTGTCTATGTTGATGTCGTGTTGTAACACAACTTAAACCACTGCTGTTTTGATTTCTCTTCAAAAACATTTGGCATAATCAGGACACAATGTTGGAGTCAAGTCCTCAAATCCAAGTACAAAGTACTTTGAGTACTTTAGGGGCTAAATCCTGGTCCGAGTCCAAGTACACTGGTGACGAGTCCAATTGCATCAAAGGCCAAGTACTGGGCCAAGCCAAGTAACAAATAACTTAATTATTAAAACTGAATTACACAGGCACATGGTCTTCTTGCAACACAAATCTGCATTACCATGTGGATATTCACACCTTTTATTCATGTGAAATTATCAATGCATAACTGGCTATTATTATTTTAACCGTTTCTTAACGATCAATGTGGCTTACAAATACCTGTGCAGAAACCTTTACCAAAGATTGAATTAACCCTAACCCCCAAGGGGGTACGTAAAATCATATTGAAATTGGAAGATTTGGGACTGTTAGGGTTAAGTACATAAGGAAACCCTGAGATATCAAAACTGAGTAAAAAAGCAAGACAATATAAACTTAAATAAAGATATGTACTGAAATAGAAACCTTCCCAGTCACCTTATAATATTACCTAATGTTAAAACCCAATGACCAAGACAGAGACCCAAGCCTTAATTAACCATAACTGATGCCAAGACTGAGACTAGACTAAAATCTTGTAACTGAATCACAAAACAAAAAACACGAGCGTTGAAGAAATGGCTTGAAAGAATTTTGAATGCACCTCAAGTTTAATTATAACTACCGAACACTTTGTACTTGAGAATCCTTATTTTCATATCAACAGTAATAATGCCCTCTGAACTGGAATGATAAAAAAACGTCTCCTATTACAGAAAATGCTTCATTCTATCGTCTTGTAAACTGAAAGAAATCAGTTTTTCTGAAGTTACACTTCAAGAAAACAAGACTGGAGAGCACCTTGCTCGTGAGGCGGCTGCGATGGGGCTGCAGGAAAATACCACCTGTGCTGAATACCCGCTGTTTAAGATGGACGTCATCCCACTCTTCTCCGTTATTCTTGTTTTGCAGAAATTGCACACTGTGTTGCTTTTTCCCACTGATGCTGAACTCGCGGTATTCTTCATAGCCCCATTTAATTATATCAGAAATCGCCGACATATTCAATGATTGAAAAGGCCAAGAAAA